GGGGGGACGGTATGGCAGGCAGGTTGCCATAGTGACAGGCGCTCAGGGATGTCCTGGGCTTTCTGGGCTGGCTTCCTGCCCAGAAATGGCTCTGGTCACTCTGGACACCAGAGCTAGAGTGGGGGTTGGGCACCAGGGGATGGTATGGTCAGAGTTGCTAGTTCTGGGTGCTATGGAAGGTTCCTGAAGAAGCCAGCACCTGCTGCCCCACGGGACTGGGACGACTCCCCCTGGAAGGGCTGGAGGACCATTTTCTGACTCTGGCCGACCTTGAGCCTCTGCCCCAGTCTGATCCCCAATTCTTACTCCAGTCTGAGCCATGATCCTGACCTCGCACTGAACCTGGCCCACATGTACTCTGGTCCTGACCCCAGGATGAGCCTTGACAACCCAGGGATGGAGCAATGGAGGGTCTGAGAAGCTGTGGAGACCCAGAGGGCTTTGGAGGAGGATGAAGAGGAGGAGGAGGAGGGTGGTGGTCTGGGGTGGGGAGACTCCTCTGGTCCATCCTTTCTCTCACTTCTCCTTCCACCCCTCCCTCCCTCCCTTTCTTCCTTCCTTCTTTCCTTCCTTCTTCCTTCCTTCCTTCTGGACCCTGTAGATTCAGAGCCTCATAGGGCTCCTGCCTGGAGGTGCAGCAGATGGGCAAGGGCCAAGGTGAGAGCTACAGCAGAGAGCAGAGGGCCAGCCATGGACACCCACAGGTGACAGGGGTGGGAAATCACAGGCAGGCAGGGAAACAAGAGAGCCACTGGCAAAGGACAGCTGGCCTGAGGGATCCTCAACAGTAAGTGGCAAAGTCTGGGGTCTCAGTGGGCTGGGTCACCCCATCCTCCCCAGGCTTGCCCCAGCCAGGCAAATAGGGATTCTATTAAAGCCCAAATGACTTGCTGAAGCGTCTGCTTCCTCATGCCTCTGTCATGGGCCAGGCTAGGGAAAGCCGCACTGACCACCCAGGGAGGTCACCCTTGGGACACAGGGTCAGAGAGGCCTTGGCTGGACTAGGCTGAGGTTAGTGGGCCTGACAGTGGCCGTGGGCAAGCCGTTACCCCTCTCTGCTTTGAACTTCTCGTCTACGGAATGGAGAGGGCAAGACTTTCATCAAAGGGCTGTTAGGAGGATTATATTGAACTAAGGATTATGGAGTGCTGAGTTGCTAGCTTTCCCTGCTAGGAAAAATGATTTAAATTTCCTTTTTCGCTCTCTGAAGGCGGCGAAAGTTGACTGAACAAAACTGAAGTTATTATCCCCAATTCACAAAACTAAATGAGCACGAAGAAATTTTAAGAAATGAAACTTTCAAA